CTTGGAAATTCCCTTTTTTTTTTTTTTTTTTTTTTTTTTTTTTCTTTACCAGCATTCATTGTATTCGTCAATCAACAATTATTTTCATGACTTGAAATCGTGACTTACTGATTTTTCAAATTTTTTACAGATACGTGGCTCATACGGAATGCGAACAAGATTTATCCCTGTGGACAATGCGAGAAAGCATATGCATATGCATCTTCCCTTTATCGTCATCTTAAACTCGACTGTGGCAGATCACCCGAATTTCACTGTACTTACTGTCGATTGAGTTAGAAACGTAAATTTAATCTGGACATGTCATATGCACATATGTGTGCACACTTATCTCCCACAAGCACCGCATGTCCCATATACAACTCCAATATCTTGGCTTCCATCCGGAAACCATGAGTATTAACTCCAATATCATTGACAAGAACCAACTATCTTTTCTACAAATCTAGAAATAAAAAAATCCGTCACAAAACTTTTTGAGAAAATCCCATAGATTTTCCTGCATAAATATTTGGGCGTGTAACAATTATGGTTGCACGTGGCAAAAACTTTGTTTAGAATAAATAAGATTTTTTTTTTTTCAATACAAAATTTGACTTAACTATATCTGGTACGATATTCTTAATATCTTGATTTATGATACTGAATTTGGTTTTACAGAAATTATTTCAAATTTTTTAATCCAAATATTTGAAATTGTATTAGAGACTAAAAACCCGGCACTGGTTGTCACGGTGATTAAAGTAATGAGAGAAGTGATTGTTTTAGCACTGGTTACGTACTAATTCTACAGCAATTACTATTGGCAGCAATGAAGTTCAGGAATGAAAGCTTAGTCTTATTTTGGTGTGTGTATTATTAGTATCACGTCAGAATATACTGCTACCCTTTAATTACCCAGGAAACCAAGTCCAAAAAACGTCCTTAGGACGTTCTATGGGACAGAAATTGTCCTATGGCCATCTGGAAGATGACTTTTGAAAGTCCGCGTTATTCGGGTACCTTCTTATGGTGTATCTGATACCAATTCAATATCAAACGTATACTTACAATAAAAATTGGACTTCATTGCTATTTGTATTAAAAGAAAATGAATAAAGTTTGTCGTTGAGATTTTTGTTGACGGTACGAAAGACGTAGATACAACGACTAGTAAGAACAATTGTATATATATATATTTTTTATGTCTTCTTTGTACTAACAAATTCAAATTATTTTTTTACAGGACAACAGCCACAAGACGTCCGGACTTATTGGTGTAGGGACTGTCACAAGTCTTACAATCTAAAGTCCTCCCTCACGCGACATCGCCGCCTGGAATGCGGCAAGAATCCTCAATTCAACTGTCCTTATTGCGGTTTCAAATCAAAGCGAAAGTACAATTTGAATCAGCATATAACGACTATACATAAAATGATATTCTTTTAGAATGTCAAAAAGGATTAGATACTTAAAAAAAGAAACGTCCAATTGGACATAATGAAAAGGCCAAAAGATTTTTGAACGAGTGTTCAGTGAATTTCGAGTGATTCGAAGATAATGGCAAAGGGTGAAGAAATTTAAAAAAAAAAAAAAGAATGCCAAAAATCCCATCCTTAAATATTTTCATCTCCATTATAGAGAGGCTAGTGAAAAATAAAAATTTTGACGTTTTTCTTACAGAAACATTTTTTGTTACCTTTATTTGTACCTATGACTTTCTTCTTTCTTCTTCTCTCTCTCTCTCGCTCTCTCTCTCTCTCACTCTCTATCCAATCAGTTTCGCAGCATCCACGGAATTCTGCCACCTAACAAAAAAACTTCTTCTAACGTGACGTCGCCGCACTGTGGTCACTTTAGAACAAGTACTAAAAGATATTGTCCGGATTCTGTTTCAGGTCTGAGAGTCCCTTTGGCCTTTGGTCTTTTCAAGAAACCCTTTGCCTGCAGGCACTGCGATCGCAGCTACAAGAACAAGAGTTCTCTTAATCGTCACGTGCAATATGAATGCGGCAAAGAGAAGCGATTTAGCTGTCCAATCTGCCATAGAAGATTAATACAGAAGAGTAGCCTCCACAAGCACATGCTGGTGGTCCATGGAATTTGAATGTTTTAATTATCTTTTTTTCCCCCATTCCTTGCCTCTGCTTATTTATACCTACGTTACGTCACAATACCAAAATAACCATTTTTACCCATTTTCACGGATATCCATGAACATAAAAACTGAACGATCCCCTCACCAATTCCACTCCCAGTCTTCGAATTTTATTTTTATAGACACTTAAGTTTAGTCGTGTAACTTTTATTCGCGAACCAGGCAAGACAAGAAGAAACAATAAACTGTGCTAAAGCTGTGCCTTGATTGGTATCGTGATATCGTACTGATCGTATCGTGTCGCTATGACGTTATCAGGTCAAACGTTAAAGCTTGCGGTATGAGAAATCCAAAATTTGTATATAATACTATATTATCTATAGACACACACATATATATATACATATATATATATACTAGATATAAATGAAAGCATCGTATCCAGATTCGATTTGTATATTAGTTGATTTTTTTCCACGAGGTTTGCGGGATGAATAATTTGTTGATGTTTGTTTATTGACTTTTATTTATTTATATACATTTATTTCTCTTTTTATTATTTTTAATTCCACCTATATCTTTTTCACTCTTTATCTCTATCTTTATCTTTAGCTCTATCTCTCTCTCTCTCTCTCCCTCTCTCTCTCTTTCTCTCTCTCTCTCTCTCTCTCTCTCTCTATCTATCTATCTATCTATATCACTCATCGCACATTAGCTACTTAGTTACGACGGGCTGGAAAGGAAAAACGCATCCTTTGGTTAAGAGTGGGTTTACGTGACGACGCGTTCGCGAAATCTATCTATCTATCTATATTCTCTATCTTTATCTTTAGCTCTATCTCTCTCTCTCTCTCTCCCTCTCTCTCTCTTTCTCTCTCTCTCTCTCTCTCTCTCTCTATCTATCTATCTATCTATATCACTCATCGCACATTAGCTACTTAGTTACGACGGGCTGGAAAGGAAAAACGCATCCTTTGGTTAAGAGTGGGTTTACGTGACGACGCGTTCGCGAATACCAAAGAATGAAAATGTGAATTATTATATAAAAAAAAAATTTCCAAAATTCACAACAACAAAATACCGTAGGAATAATTCTATCCGTAGAATCATATTCCCTTGACGGTAAAAAAAAAAGTGATTGGTCTTTCGCGAACGCGTGCACAAAAAGGACATTGCAAAATTTATCCTGGGTGATCCTTCGGGGCTATTGGCTGAGTCGTTTGTGTTGGTGGTTACGGGTTTAATTATAATTTTGCAGTAACATCATTATACCTCATACGTATCCAGCAACACCCTACAATACCAAGTTCCATCTGTATACATGAATTTAGGTCCCTCTTTTTATCCCACCTAAGACAAAACAAAAATTTCCTCATTCAGTATAGAGGGAGATAAAAATTAATAGATATTAAATCCCTCCACTCCCTATCCCCTCGGCTCCCGTTCTATCTCATATTAAAAAGAAAGCCCTTCCTTCATTTTTCTTTTTTCGTTATTTTTAATTTTCCTTTGCTTCTCCTTTGCGGACTGTTACAGGCATGGGTGCGTTACTGTCCCTCCTACGCTCGGACTACAAGGACTCCGTAAAGAAGAGAGAGAGTCTGTCGGAGACTTCGGTCGGTGGGACCGGAAACGATCGCACACGCGAAGTCGTGTTCCCGGACTCTTTCGAAGTGTTGCCACAGCCGCGCGATCTCAGCGTAGTCTACATGGGGGTACCGCACGAGCAACAAAGGAAATTCAGGTGCCGTTTCTGCGGCAAGGGATATCGCTGGAAGAGCACGATGCGTCGGCACGAGATGGTGGAATGCGGCGGGAAGCCACCGGCATTCCAATGTCCGGAATGTCCTTATAAAGCCAGACAGCGCGGCAACCTAACCGTACATTATAAGCGTCATCATCAGAAGATGGGTTACGACGAAAGTGCCTAATACCAACCAGTTCACCTACCACTTATTATTATTAATAATATTAATATTATTATTATTATTATCGTCATTTTTTTCTTCTTCCTCTTCTTACTCTTCGTATCTTCGTTCTTCGTTTTGATAAGTGTATCGGTGCTCTTCCTCTTGAACGTGTATATGAATTTGATTGTGAGAGTGCGAGAGAGAGAGAGAGAGAGAGAGAGAGAGAGAGAGAGGGACGAATGACGTGCTTTAAATGAGTAAGAGTAACCGAAGGCGAAATGAAATTTTGAAGATAATTTGAAACTATTATTTTTATCTTCCTCTTCTTTTTCTTCTCTTACTTACTCTGTTTTTATGTCAATTCATACCTCGAGTCGTGGCGAATGCCTCGACTTCTAGAGACTTAAGCGTGGTGTAATTCTTCTTGGTAATTTAACGTTATTGATTAAGGATTTATCATTAGGTATTTTAACGGGAGTGTCTTGGACGATGATGATTAACGATTTGATACTCCTTGTATATGGGATAATTAAGAAATGAGGAATTTTCGTAATGACGACCTGGTTGATTTCGTCCTTTCGTGGGGAATATTGGTATTACTTGCTCATGACGGAATTTATATTATGAAATTGTAATAATTTTTTTATGTATATATAGGGTGTTCCATTTTAATATCTGCTTTGATGCTGACGGTGCATTGGCAGTATGTTCAATTGATTAATTCGAATATTCGAGACACCTTGTATATTTAGGACATTATGTTAATACGAAATTAATATGTAATACGTCTTTAAAGTGTTTTCCCTATGATTAATTTTTCTTGACATGACGAATTCTTTTAAAACTAGTACATTATATCGGAACTGCGATTCAGTGTTTTCATGGAATATTACATTTTTACGAAATTTTGTTCTCGTCGTTTCTGGTAAACGTGTATAATATTATGCGAGAGTTGTGTTAATGTTATATATGTATACATACATTCATACATATATATATATATATGTTGCCTGTAAAGTGTCAATACGATTCTTGTGTCTGCCTGTACATACAGCTGTATTGTCATGTCAATTAAAAAAGTAGGGTATTCAATAGTAATTGGTACGAAACAGCAGGGGAGGGAATGTGGCGTAAATTTTGAATTTGATTAAAATCGATGGAAATCGACCGGGTCGCCGAAAAACAAATAGATCATACTCTTAGAAGTGTAAGGATAAATGTTTTCCATTGTTTTTTTTTTATACAAATATTTAGATAAAAAATAATTGTGCGAAGATGCCGCGTTCCGCGCGAGACGCGCGCGTCAGTATTTTTGATATCAGTATTGCGAATGCTCGTAGCTGTGCAAATTTTTCGTAATTTGCGCTGGGCAAAAACTCGTTACTTTCCACTCTATTGCGATCACGACCGTTGCGAAGATTGTCGATCCTCCTTAATACTTTTCCAATTACGATTATCAATTATTCCTAACGATCGACCTTACGTGTAATTTGGACTTTTGGTATGCTATACTTAATATTTAAGGAAGACTATTTTTTTAACCACTCTCTTGTTTATTAAGTAGTATCGAGAGACGTTGATTAATACTTATATGTCACCTTTCTCTTTTCTCTTTACGTTCTTCGTTTCCTTAATTTTCATCTTTTTTTTTTCCTTTTTTTTTGAACACTTACTTTGGATATTTTATGTTTTCGGAAAGGTTTATTAGGCGAATTTAATTAATAAAAGACACACACTTTGTTGCGGGTTATTTTGAAAAAAAAAAAAATTGCGTCTTTTTTACTTGGTGCGTGTCAAAACCTTAACCTCGCCAAGGGGGTTGATTGTCAAACTGACTACGCAGATAAGTCCTTGACCCCCTCCTTCCCTTGTCCGTTATACATAATTACCTTTTTAATAGGAAATAGGAAATGAAATTGATTAAGGACTCGTTCTCCAATTGTCCTGATCGATCGGATCCAACTACGCAATCTTTCTCACAAATTATTTTCTTTTTCAGCAATCCGTTTCTCCCAGCTTCCCATCACGTCGTTTCTTTGCGTGCGCTGCGGAAAATGTTACAAGAGGATGATGACGCTGCAGCGTCATCAGAGAATAGAGTGTGGTCAGGAAGCGAAATTAAAATGTGAACTATGCCCCGCGAAATTTAAACACAACTACAGCCTCCAGAGACATTACAGGCACGTTCATGCGGTGGTGAAGAGGACAACCCAAAAGAAGAAATATAAAAGCCATCGACAAACTCTCTGACAGAGAGAAGGAAATTATTTTATAAGCAATAAAAATGGGAGAGAAAAACAAATTTCTAAGAGGCCAATCAATTTTTTGATAAAACATTTTCCGAATGGGTTGACACGTGTCAGAGAGAGACAAAAGATTCTTTTGATTCATTCGCTCTTTTTAAAATATACAATTAATCATTTTCAAATTTCCCGCTGTCGTTATGCATTAATATGATTTTGAATTCAATGAAACAGCTTGTCGCTAACTGGACATTTGTATTTACTCAATAAAATTTTATTTTCGCCAAATAAAGGTCCTTGTCCAAAAGCGCCGATCCTTGCGTACCCAATAGACTTTCTTTTTTTTTGTTTTTTTTTTTTTAATTATTTATAATCTATTTTCGCTTTAATATTTATTTCTCTCTGGTAATATCGTCGCGATCTTCACGGAACTTACGTTTCATGGATATAATTTACTTTCAGGTTTCTGGGGCCACGAGGGTCTGCCTCCACCTGTTCCAATTCATCAGGATAACTCCTACGCGGTGCAAAATGCTTTGTGGAACAATCAAAACATTTTTCAACCCGTACGCACGGCGCGCGGCCAATCTTCCTACAAGTGTCCAAACTGCAATCGGTTTTACATGAGGACCTCCTGCCTAAAGCGCCATCTTCGTGTCGAGTGCGGGAAGGCGCCGAAGTACCAGTGTCGAATATGCCAAGGATGGTTCAAGTACAAGCACAACTTGGCGGCTCACATGAAACTTCACGTCGAGGAACCTAAGCACCATTGTGTCTTGTGCCCGAAGAAATTCTACAGACGCGACAAATTGGCTGAGCACGAAAAGAAATTTCACAATTTTTTTGCAGTTTAATTTGGAGGTCTATATACATGATTTTTTATACGAACGTCAGCTCGTTGATTTTCAAAAATAATTTTTTTTTGTAAGTACCACAAATTTTGTTTATCTTTTTTTTTTTCTTCTTTTTATCAAATTTATATTCGTTTCGTTATGTAAAATACCGTCAGTCAGCATACACGCATGCGTATTCTTTTCGTTTCGATTAATGGAGAACGAGTAGAATGAAACTTCATGAGAGATGAATTCTCGGGGTTAAGGTATGGGTATTATTTTTGTTTTTATTTGTTTGTTTTTATTTAATTGTATTATACGTGTCGGATAATTCGCGTCACATCGATCAGTAAGAATATACGAAATTGCAAATCGGCGTAAAGAGCGCCGAAATGAAAAATTACTCAAATTTGTAATTTTTTTTTATTTTTAATGATCCTTATGATGTGGGATGCTTGTTACATAATTGCATACTTATGGATAGATTTGTACTTACGACTTTAACGTATGACATTGCTAATTACTTTTAATAATGTAAAATCGATAATTCGGAAATTCTTTTTTGAAAATCCGAATATTCGTTTCGCCAGTCTTCCGGTCTACGTCGAATGGCGTATCATTTGATCATGTACTATTATCTTCGAATATCTTAATAAGAGTCCTGATAAAATGTTACAGAAAAGAAAAAAAAGATTCGTCAAGTGTCCTTTAAAGCAGGAATAAAATAAATGAAAATCCTTATAACAAGCCAATCATTATATCGTCATCCTATTGAAAATCTGTTGTCGTCCTAGTACAAATCTGTGTAGCACCTGTAAAAAAAGAAATGAATGCCCTGCAAATTTTTGTGAAAAATATTTAATTTCAGAAATCCTAGGGATTCGATCGTTTCATACAAAATAATCAATTCCCAGGAACTAATTCCAAAGGATCGATATATCGCCCCCTACTGCACTTAGGATCTTCCACGTCGAAAACGAAGGAGCTTTCAGGTTGTACCAACACTGAAAAAATGACAAGTGATAAGAAAAAAAGAAAAAGAAAAAAAATGCAATCCCACGTATCTAGAACAAATTTTTTTCCACAACGTATTCCACCATTAACAAAAATTCTCTGTAATTTCAGAATGCATCATTATCGCCACGTCATCAGACTGCCTCGTGGGAACCAGAAGGGACCTTGCCTGCAACACCTGTCCAAGAAAGTACAGTTCACAACGAGCTTTAAAATTTCATCAGAAGATCGAATGCAACCAGGAGCCAAAATTCACCTGCACCCTATGCAGTTACAGGACCTTGAGAAGGACTAGTCTTCAGAGGCACATGCTACGTCATAGGCGGGACAGGATTCTATAAGATCCACGTATCCTTTGAGAACGAGTCATTGAATTTAATCAAAACACATCTTGTCTTGCTGTACCACAAAAACAATAAGAAAAAGTAGCAAAATTTATTCAGTAGGAATTTTCCCATTTAATCAATGTTCCATGCCAGATTCGCACTTGGCTGACAAAACTTACTTTTAAATGAGAGTCACTTTGATTCGTGATCATAATGACTGCACTTAATTGCAAGCAAGTTTGTGAACCATTTGGGAATATTGAGCTTAGTGTGCCTTTTTATGAAACTTCGTGTACATGAATAAAATATGACAATATCATTTCCCTCACGCCTATGCAGTTTTCCTCTATTTCACTGTGACGTCCTTGTGTCAGTGTTTGAAAATTTTTTCAGGAAACTCAGCAAGACCCGGTGCAACTTTGGAATTTGTCATTCAATTTTTTCTAATCATTATTTCATTATTGTTGCAGATGCAGCTGCAACAGAGGGCCTGCGCCACTCTTCCACAGCACGTCAACGATACGTGTGCAATCAGTGTGGTAAAACTTATGGTCAACGTCGCACACTCTTGAATCATAAAAGGGAATGTGGAAGGATACCAAGTCTTGTGTGCAACATATGTGGATACGCGTCTCATCGTAAAGGAAACATTAGACGTCATTTACAATGTCATCAAGTGTATGCTGACCTTCACACCTTGGGCAATTACATAACTAGAATTGTAATGAGAAGTCAGGAGGACACTGTGCAATTAGCGGATGTCTGTGAAGGAATCATTGATTCGTATTAACGGATATGTTATTTGAACGGCAGATGGAAAAGCAAAAGTCAAAAAAATATGATTTTCCAAAAATGTATATTTTATGCAATTTCATTGGTATAGTTTTCTCCCAGTTTCTGTACTTTCCCCTGTGTCGTCCCGTTGGGGTTTATTTTATTGATTATTCTGTCCTTTTCTTGTCCGGCCTTTGTGTGGATTCTAAGGATATTTTACTCAAATGCATTTCTTTTTTTAACAGCTCCAAATATTCGTTTCAAGTGCTGCCAATGCTGTCGATCGTACAAGACGTTTAAATCGCTGCGAAAACATCAAAATCATCAGTGTGGGAAGGAACCCACCAAAAGCTGCGCATTGTGCGGTTACAAAGCCTACTTTAAGTATAATTTGAGGAGACACATTCTTCGCACGCACAAAATTGATATACGCTCTCCGCGTCGAGATACCTTTCTTTTGGGACTGTATTAACGCAGCTAAGAGAAATACGAGTTTCGTTGTAAAGGAAGAACATGGCTCTCCTTCGATTATTTGAATTCAATTGCATTTAATGATTTTTTTTTCTTTGTATCAGATAAAACAATTTTCAGAAAAATTCAGTTGTACGTGAATAAAGTTTTCATTTTTGTTTTCTAAACAGCCATCGATCATTCGTACTGCATTGTTTTGTGAAGTGAATGAGATTTTTGCAGATACCGCAGGGAGTCTTGCGAAATCAGCAACTTATGGAGATCGGAAAAAACATATATGGGATTTTTTGAAAAATTATTTGTAAAATAGAACATTACTTCAGCGCTCGTCATTTTTTCAGGTATGTACCACTGGAGTTGCACGAAGACGAAAACAATGACACCCTATCAATGTCGCAAGTGTTTCAAGTTCTTCAAGTCATCGAAATCCTGCTCGAATCATCGAAGCTTTTGCGGGAAGGACAAGAAATTTCGATGCGCGTTTTGCGATTATCGGTCTCACCAAAGAGCCAACGTCTTGAGGCATCTGAACACACAGCATCCGGAAACAATTAATTTGAATCAGTCTGACTGCGTGGTCAATCTGATCGAGAGTTTCTGAACTGTACAATTGAAAACGGACTTGTCATTATGTACGAATAAAAAGACACCTGTGAATTGAATGAAAGAAAAAAAAAAAAAGAAAAAGAATCCCTTACAAAATCCTTTTTTTTTTTTTTGCAAATTTCGATAACGTACGTTCCCTGTGACGTGCGATAGTCGCACACAAATTTTTTTGACTATTAAAAATTTTTTTCTCCACGTGGAATCAATTCCTGGCAGATAGCTTTATTTTTCAGGTGACACTTTTCTCGAAACCAACGAGCTTCGTTCACGATCCTGCAAGTGTTTCTTATCGCGACCGAAGCAGATCCTATTCCCGAGTGAACGACAGAATCGGAATTTGTCTCCTTCCAAAAAGACGGTATCTTCTTGAAATTTGGAAAATTGTAAAAAAAAATTTCAAGAATCGAAATTTTGTCCCTTTCTAATTTTTTGAAAATAGTGTTGCAAGGTATTTGAGAACGTTGGAAGTAAGGAATGAGAGGGGAGTAAGAATATTGAAAAAAAAGTTTGTCTGCCTGCACGATAACGATGGAGATGCTCAAAAAGGATATGTAAAGAAAGAAAAATTAAAACGGTGGTGGGAAGCTATGGAGAATCCGAGGACACATCTAAATCTGCATTTCCTTTTGCAGATTTTTCCGTGCCTGAGGAGAATCACGATAATCCAATGCAGACATGGAAAATCGAAGCGTCCGGCTTCGCCGAATTGAAAATCCCGAAAGCTAATTTTTCCGGAAAGAAGCCCACTGGACAATTTGGTTGCGTCAAGTGCGGAAGATGTTACATGCGAAAGGATTCGTTGCAGCGTCACGTGCAGTGGGAATGCGGCAAGGAACCGCAATTTCAGTGTCCGTTTTGTCCTCAGCGTTGCAAGAGAAAGGCACACTGGCTGAGGCACATTAGACGTCAGCATCTGGACCAGATCGGTGATATGGAGGGATATCTGCTGGCTTATACGCCGAAGATCGGAATTGATTAGATTCATAAAATTGAAGCGATTTTTACGTCGCGCTATTTGTCTTTTTTTTTTGTTTTTTTTACAATCTTCAAAAACTTCGATCCTGGAATTTGACGAACCGCTTTTAATCAAGGAGATAATATTTAGTAATTTATGCAAAAAATTTTTTTGAAAATTTTACGAATTTTAATGACTCAAAATTGACTAATGAACTTTGAACCAAGTGAGCCAGGATCGAAGAATTTGGTTAGATCAAGATCGATCTGGATCAAAGTCGACTGATACTATTTATTGTTTTCTTATTACCTGCACTGAAACAGCGATTTTCAATTTCTGTTTATCCAGTCCAAGCGAGCCAATTTCAGACCGATGCGATTTAGCAGGCAGAAATCATCTACTTTCTGTCCGCTAAATTAGTTGCTGACCTAATTTCATCCCTGTCAGAACCGCATTTGTTTGGTGTAAGCCTCTCGTTTCGACTGGCTCCAGACATTAAAACTCTCAGTTTCAATGCAGATAATATGAAAAATATACTCTGTGACACGGGAACAAAAAAACGATTTCATACTTCGGGTGATGTCAGCCATCGGCTACGACTCGGGCAGCCAACTTCACCCTAGTCTGAAATCGTCTTACTTCATCCCTCGCCACACAATATACTATCTCATGCGAAATCAATTATTTTATTATATCGATTGTGTAACGTATGTTTCGTCGTAATTATCATTCACGACGAAACCATCATTACTTCATTTAGCGACTTAAGTTTTATTTATAGTCATAGCTTTCGTCTTGAACATCTTACATTATTCTCCCATTAATTTTTTTTTAATTACTTTAAGTCATCCGCTTAGTCATTCGCATATATCCCAATTATTCCTCACCTCCCTAATTCGATATTCATTAAGTGCCTTATTAGACGACCTTTAGGATAAGTGAATTGGCTAACTTTTTTTTCTCCGAAATTATATCGATATCAGCGCCAAAAATATTTCTCGGAGAAGGAGAAGCGTCGAAAAATATTTTTTCTACAAATGTATTTCTACGCATCTCGCACGAGCCTCGCGAATGACAATCGACGCATAGAATCGATATACCGTCATACTAACAGAAAAAGAAAAAAAAGAAAAAAAGAATAGCATAGAACCCATAAAACAATTTGATCATTAAGCAAACTATATTTCTTATAGACTAATTAAGACTCGATTAATGTTATCGAAGTAAATTTTAAAATACCCACCTAACGTGAATCTCCTATATACAAGGAACTAAGAACACATGGGACCAGACTGCCGCTTATCGATCGATCCTCGATCTCGCTGAGATCCTTCAATCTTTATTTTTATTTTTTTTTTTCTTGATTCGATCATTTTATACAAATTCCCGTAGCGTTTACTCGTTATAAAATAAATCTGTAATTAAAGATCAGGCGAAAAATGAAAATGAACAAGAGGCAAGATCGTATTTTTTATGCTTTAAAAAGAAAGTACCGTTATTCGGCAATCATAAATTTCTCTCTGTACCAAGATCAATCCTTCCACGTGTACCAATTGTTTTGACACCTCATTTTTCTTACCCCCCCCTCTCCCCTCCCCCGAAAATCCCGTTGTATCACAATCCCACGTTCTCTTTAGTAATTTTATTCCGTTCGTGTTTTCCAAAATTCGCTCGGACCTAGTTTATACTTTTTTTATTATTTTTTTTTGCCAAATTTGACTGCAAGCTCTAGGTAAACAAATGCACCATTAGCAAGGCACTTTCTTGACACTTCTATATATCAGTACTCTCTACTATTTTCACTCTCTCTTTCTCTTTCTATCTTCTTATCCCTACACTCTGCCTCTTTATCTTTCTCTATATCTCTCATCTATCCTTCTCTCCTTACATCGTATCTCGTCGCCTCGCTATACAATCTATATACCGGCTCGAATCTTTCCATGATCATTCTACGGGTTGAACAATGAATTTAGCATGCCTGTACTAACTTTCCACCCTCTGTATATAGCGTTCCACAAACGACCAAACAACCAAACAATACTACTATCATCATTCGCATTGAAGAAAGTAATCGCAAACCGATTATAAAAGGTCTCGTTTACTTTCGCGATGCACGGTTTCCGCTCATTCGATCTCATAGCTAGCTGCTTGGGGCTCAAAGTAAGGATGCATCTATCTACATTATTGACTCTCTCACGTATTCAGCAAAAATAAAAAGGATTCCGGATTAATTCGACGTGAGAATCGATCCTTGGATAAGTTCAAAATTGCAAAATGAAAAGCTCTTATACAATAAAATCTATACAAGATTCCTGGTATCGTATCTCGCGTCATTTTATTCATTTCCAGGAGCAATAAGCACGGTCTCGACTTTCCTTGGGACAGAAAAAATTTTCAAAAATAAAAAAATGCCAATAAAAAATTACATCCAAAAAAGAAGTACCAGGGAGAGCGCGAGATTTCGTGACCGGAAAAAAAAAAAAAAAAAAAAAAAAAA